TCTTTGTTGCTTGGAACAGCCACTATATTGCTTCTTATGTGAAGGTATCGGTTCAGGATTTAGCTGCATGCTCGCTCCCGAGTCTCTTTCTGACTACAGTGACAACACCGCAGCTAATGAAATGCAGGCCATTAACACCACAAAACAACTGGCTCCCAGCACAACATAGACTCCACCTCAACCAGTAAGGATAAGTTCAACCTCAAGCTAATAAAAATATCAGTATAATGTTGCAGGGAGTTTCTAGCATGTTGTGAGAAGCAGTCTCCGGGGAATCTGTCTCCACGTGACGGGGTTTGCTTGCTCATGATTTCAAGCACACACCTGGTTGCAATATTAAAACCGCACAGTGTGTGTGTAGATTAGAGGTGTGGCTTCCAGATGCTGCCACCTTCATCAGATAGGTTTTAATTAGTTAATTGATGCTGCAAAAAGGGGGTTAGGTGCATGTGTGGGACCTCAAGACCACGGACCAACTCTGATCATTACTGCGCAAACTCTGGCTCCAAATTATGTCACCAGCGCAAGTTGGCAGCGCTCGTATTACGATGTTTTAGCTTCATTTTGTACAGTGCAGACACATCATCAATCTTCATATTCTGTCTATGCTCCTGTTACTCTGTTGCTGCTGCTGTATGGAGCAGACACTTTTAGCTTATAATTATAATTTGTTTGATAAGCGTAGGCGCTGATGAGTAAAAATGAACTAAATGTTTTTTTTTGTTTTTTTAAAGTGATGATGGGTGTAGTGTTTACGTGGTGTATGTCCGTGTAACACCACTAACGGGCAGCGTGTTTATGTTACGCTGATCTCTAATCTTGCCCTCCTGCCGTCTTCTCAGAGCGTTGTCATCGACGACTCATCAGTCCTGAAGCTGAAGGCGATTGGTGTCAAGGAGAATGTCGTGGTGAACATTCCGTTCATGCTGATTGGTCTAGGAATCGTCCTGGGAGGAGTCTTCATGTTCCTGATGTGTCGACAGAAGGTGCCTGAGGTGAATGCCTATTTAATTTGAGTACTTTTTCTTGCAGAGATAATGTTATAGTTGCAAATAAATAAGGTCAATGTTAAAGTTAAATATGTATGATTGTACATTAAAAATATTTATGTAACTGTGTCAATTCATAGGCATATTTTTCATTGTCTTAAGGTAACATTTTTGTGTCTGGTTTCATTTTCCAGAGCACTGCTGCTGAACGACAGCCCCTGCTCTCGTCATAGCACCAAACAGGATGTGAAAGGAGAATTGCCATGTTTGCAGTATAATTCAATATTTCAAGGCTTCAATGGATCTGCAGTATTTACCATTAATCCCCAAGTAACAGTTTCCATTGATAACCTTTCCACCTTTTAATCTGGTTTTTTTTATCTAAAGTTTTAGGAAAAAAAGTGGAGAGGACTCTTTACAGAGTTGGGGTTGTTAATGTCATGTCTTCCTTTCAAGTCTAGAAATGATGCTAAAATCCCCATTTTTAAAAAAATGAATTCTTAAATTGAATCTATTTTGCTTTTTACTGAATGATTTGAATACTACCAAATCTGAATTTGAATTATCTGGAGAGCCAGAATTGAAGTGAACTAACCTCCGGGGATTTAAGTTAAATACTCTTAAGTGTCATTATTTGAACACAGTCCATTTTTTCTGTGTGTTTGTGTTTGTATCCAAATGACTAATGACTACAGAACTGAAATAGTGACAAAAGAATACCGTCAGCATGTGTTTTTAAAAGTGGGCCAATACGATCTGGAGAGATTGTTGAGGCGTTAGTAAGGAGGCTTACACAGCTTTTGCAAGAGAGAAATGCTTTTTAATAATTTTGTAACATCATTTGACATTTCTGAATTGTTGCAAAGTGAATAACAAAGTCAAGGTGTGCAAAACAACTGCTGGCATAATGCTTTAATTTTAATGTGATGAATATTATTTATGTTTCCTTAAATGTCAGAAAACGTTTCTCATGTAATTTTAATGTCTAAGGAGTTGCATCTTGTGAGAATATAACATTTGATGGTTTTTGTTCAGACATTCCTTTCAGTCTCTTGGGCTGGCTGGAGCTCTGATTCTGTAGTGAACCGGATCAGCTTCCTTTTAAAACTACGTACTGTGTCGTAGCCTTCAGTGGAAATCCTGTTACTCACAATACATCTCATTAGTATAATGTGGAATAACATCCAAATAGTATTACTTCAGCAGTAGTCAAGGCTTTTTCCTGGTGTGGTGTATGATGTCTTGCCTCATGATGGTGTGAAGGATGTTTTCTTTCCCCTCATTCATTCATTGAATTTCTACTGATATTATGCTAAAATCGGTGGATGAACAAGATCATGCCACTACTACTGATAAATGTTTGCTGAAATACAAAAAAAAGGTTTTGCCTTTCAACCACTAGGAGTTGTCCGTGTTCTCATGGTTAAAGTCTGCACTTCAAAACAGCGTTATCAGCATTATTGTGACTTTATTTAAAAACATGTTTTTTTTATTGGGCTGGAGCTGACCTGTTCTTAAAATGCAATTGATTTTATGTCCAACACTACACAGAATGTCACTATAATAGTCACTTTTGTTTGAATAATGTAATTTGAATAACCACTGTTTCACTCACATTACTGACAGGTTGTCTTGTGTTTTTGTTGTCTTTATTTTATATGTAAAAGTAATTTGTTTACATTACAATACATACAGTAAAATCAATTTGTAATGACTGTTTACGTACTCTCAATAGGTCACATATCTAACAATTTACACAGCATCTTTTCATTTACAAATTCAATAAACCTGCTTCATATTCACCAAAGGCGTGTTTGTATTTCTTCCATTACACATCGAACAATGATTTGATAAAGTGCACTATCACTTACTTTCATACACTTTTTCCTTTTTGTGTAGAGGTCATCAGTAAATCATGAATTCTCTTATGATGAGCTTCAGGGGTTGGTCTGACTAATTTATCATTTGCAGATGTTGAAAGGTGGTATTAAAACTTTTGTAATTATAGCTAGTAGTTGTAGAGAGCACTTTAGTATTTTGAAAGAACACCTAACCTAAATCTGCCATATACAGTTGCAGGGGAAAGTATGTGTACCCTTTGGAATTATCTGGATTTCTGCATAAATTCATCATAACATACATACAAACACAAACACATAACAATAGACAAACACAGTTGGCTAAAAAAAACCATGCACACAATTATATGTTTTTTTGTAACATACCATGTAAACATTCAAAGTGTAGGGTGGAAAAAGTATGTGAACCCCTAGGATAATGACTTCTCCAAAAGCTAAATGGAGTCAATAGTCTGCAAACATGGAGTCAATGAGATGAGATTAGAGGTGTTGGTTGGAACTGCCCTGCCCTGTAAAAACACATCAATTTTAATTTAGCTATTCTCATTATATTGTCTATAAATGGAGAAAGTTCAACTCTGTTACTACTCTCCCTAGTAGTGGCCATCCTGCAAAGATGACTGCACAAGCACAGCACAGAATGCTCAGTGAGGTTAAGAAGAGTCCTAGAGTGTCAACTAAAGGCTTACAGAAATCTCTGGAACATGCCTACATCTCTGTTGATGACTCTACAATAACACTAATCAAGAATAGACACCACAGAGGAAGCCACTGCTGTACAAAAAAAAAAAATTGTTATATCTGAAGTTTGGGAAAGAGCACCTGGATGTTCCTCAGCAGTACTGGCAAAATATCCTGTGGACAAATGAAACCAAAGTTCAGTTGTTTTGAAGGAACACACAACCCTAGGTGTGTAAGAAAAAAGGTACATCGCATCAAAACCTCATCCAAACTGTGAAGTATGTTGGAGGGGGTCATGGTCTGGGGCTTTGCTGCCTCAAGGCCTGGAAGAGTTTCTATCATCAACAGAAAAATTAATTCCAAGGTTTATTAAGAAATTTTGCAGGAGAATGTAAGCCCATCTGCCCGCCATAAAAATCAATGCAACAGAACAAGAGATTTCTTTCTTATTCCATGCATTCTACATTACCCATAATGCAGCTGGACAGATTGCCATTCGGTCTGAGATGTATGGGAGATGTGTCATGCTAGTAGTGATTAATGTAGCCTCACTAGCCTCAAACAGAGATGAGGAGCTACTACAGAGGTATGGGATTTTTTTTTCCAAAACTTTTTGCTTGTGGTTAACCCCAATCAAAGCTGCCTCAAGTTACATTTGCACTTATGCACTCATGGTTATTATGATTAGGGTTCACAGTTCTGGGTTGATGCTGCTGGCCTATAAGAGTCATACCTACATTTTTAATACCACTAGTACTTTCAAAGTTGTGTTTACCCATTTCCATTACTGTGTAGGACAAACTTTGAGGATGAAATTGTTTAAAAATTAATAAATGCAAGTTATGGTCATTCTGCTCCATGTTTAAGGCTCAAAATAGGAGTTTGTTAAATAGGAGAATTGTTTTGTGAAATAAGCCTATTTGCTTCCTTGCAGACAGATGAAAATTTTGATGCCACTCTCATGCCTACAAGTTATGCTACATAACAAGTCAAAGCCAGGAGGTGGTCAGCGTAGCTTAGTATAAAGACTGGCAATTAATCCTGGAACTGCAAACTAGTACTGGCTGCCTGTATTTCAGCTGGGTCTGTGTGACTGGCTCTTGAGTCACATCAAATGCTCACAGCTCTGTGGTTTTCCTATTAAATTCATCTGATTGCAGTAAAATGTCAGTAGTATAATAATAGTATATTATTATTCAAAGGGAGATATGAATGAGTCTGTGTGTTTTTTGAAAAACACAGGAAGAGAAGGACAGGAAGCTCCACCTAACTTTCTTTTCATTTATGTCTGTTTCTAGTAGATTTTATCCATCCATATATGTTGATACACGGACATTTTTTTGAAACTGCCCTTAGAGCACAGCCCCCACCAGAAGCATCTTCACAGAGGAGACCAGAAATCCTCATCCATTCTGAGAATTTAAGCTATCTGAGGACCTCCAGCCTTCACGAGAAGAACATGCATGTATCTTCAGTGGTATCTCAGCATGGAGGTCCTGGGGTCAGATCCGAGCTGGAGACTACAGGGTTGAAGTAAATGGGTGGATGGAGAGATTTCTACACTCTATGACACATGTTAAGGTTTCACTGAAGTACCTCTGACGTGGAATTGTCCTACTGGGTTAAAGTGTACTTTGGCTCCCTGCAGACAGACTTCGATCATCATTATAAAACTGATAAGTACCACTGTCCAAAGAAGTTTGCATTGTTGGCTATGACTTGAGGTCAGCCTTACTCATTAGTCATTAGTCAAGTAACAAATTGGAAAATTAATCTTTAATATCTGTCAAAAAGTAACTCCTCCCTGTCCCAATTAAAGCCTTTAATACAGGTGGCACGAGATAACGCACAGAACAGCTTCTCTCTTGGTCTGGATCTGCAAACAGAATGAGGACTCTTCAGGAAAAAATCATTGTGCTTTCCATTTTTCTGTCTCTGATCTGCACCATTCAGGTAAGTTAGTTATCAGTTAACAATTACCAGGTACTGTTCATGTCCGGAGAGTTTCCTTTGTGCTAATAGAGAACAGCATGGCTTTTTGATCAGTCAGTCAATCACAGTCTTATATTTGCCTCTACAGGTTGATTCACTGCCTGTACCTGAAGACTGGAAAGGTTTGCTCCAGCGGACCAAACGGTCACTTCTGTGGCGCTGGAACAGCATGAAGCCTGTGGGTGCCGGCTGCAGGGATGACTTAGAGTGTGGCACAAAATACTGCAGGTACAGCAGAGCTGCTCATAGATCTTGAAACCTAATTCATCAGAAATATTATCAAACACATCAGCCTACATTCACAGAAAACAGTCTGATTGTGTTTCTGATAGGTATCACCTATTACTTTAGGGGCTTTTGACATTAAAATCTGTAATGTTTTGTCATAAATGTGAAACCAGATGTGTGCTTTAAATGACAATACATGATATTAAATAGACATAATGTTCCTTTATGTAGTTTTCACAGACTATTTGAAATAATATTGCTGCATTGTGTTTGTGTAGTTCCACATGCATGTTGCATGCTGTGGACAAAGTCAGAAAGTAATGACATTGCAATAAAGTTGCTCCTTATCTTCACAGGAGAAATATCTGTTCCTTCTGGAAATCCGTCTGACAAAGGGATACACAAACGTAACTCCCTCAGGGTGACTCTACACAACAAACATCTTCCTTATGGATCAAAGTGACCTGTCTCAAAACGAACGCTGCATGAAATGACAGCTCTGATATTCTGGTCTGAATTGAAGACCTGCTGGCCGTTTATCAGACTTACACATTCAGTTAAAGTAATCTGATCTGGCACTGCACTGCAGCAAAACAAAGCCATAAATGCTGTATGCATGAACAGTCAATATCTCTATCTATAGTGATATTTACTATTGACTATAACACATGTTTTTAATTAGAAAATATAAATGTTCATGAAATGTTTGTGAGGTGCTCTGAGTTTATTGGTTCATGTTATTAATATATATATTTATTTGTACATAATGTAAACTATGTAAATATTCAAATATACTTTAAATATTTTTAAGAGGTTTTATCGCTCAAATTGTGTTTGTCAACAGGTTCAGAACAAATTAAAAATTTTCTCACTGTTCCTTCTGCTCTATCAATCAATTTATTTTTCTGTATTTATTCATCCAAGGCCATGTAATCCTGTGATTCCTTCCTAATTCTTCACCAACCCAAAGCTCTTCCGGGACAAAAAATGTTGAAATTCAAATGAAAAATGACACAGTGACTGTGTCAAAGGTCCTGGAATTTATAGTAGAGTTGGGAATTGTGAGGATTTTTTGACCGTGTTAATAAGTCAAATTCTTCGTGGTGGGTTTGGAGAGAACAAATGTTAAAGCTGCTGTCAACTCTGTAATGTCTTGTGTTGATGAGGAGAGCTGATCAGACTTAAAAAGATGGATGACCTCTGATATCTGTCCTCTGCAATACCAGTGTTTGTGGCTCAGTTCAGTACATATACAGGTTTAACATTGCAGACGTGGTTAGGCTTCCTCTCCCCGTGCTGGTATATACTGTATGCTCACATGCAATGAGCTCTGGATTATATTCCATGTTGAAGGGCTGCTCTCAGACCTCCTTGTTCACATCAAAGAGGCCTTGAGGCCCTCAGATGTGGAGCAGCTCAAATAGAGGGAAGCAAGTGGATAGTGTGGCCTACTTTGAATGATGAGGAAGACACCAGTGCTCCTGTATGACATTCAGTGGTAGAGAAGACCTCAAGGAGCTTTCACTCATTTGCTATTAACAAGGAGACAAACTCTTACTCTTGGTTACTGAGGATGCGTTTTTCGATGGAACAGCATTACGACCATGTGGATTATAGATTTATATATGAAGCGTACCTACAGTATATAATAGTCGGGGGCCACATGGTACATATTGTAAGACTGTTCTTGGAAATGGATGCATCAATAGATGAACACTAACTGCTCATTTTCGCCACTGAGGGGCGATCTGTATGGAGGACTGTGTCTGCCACAACTGAAAATGAATCCTGAAATGAATACATTTTCAATAAATAAATAAACATCCTATTAAATGCAACATAAATACATAAAAAATAAATGTAGTTATTGTCACGACCTTGGATTTATGTGTGGTGTTTTTCTGTTATTTTGTTAAATGTACATTTCTGTTTTTCCCATTGCCTCTGTGTTCTTGTTTAGGTTTTATTAGTTGATCATTGCTTCCTTGTTCTCTGTTGTATTTAGTTATATATATCCTTGTGTATTGTCTGTAGCGTTACTTCCTGTTTTATTATCTAATTTTGGTGTTTTTGTCTAACTTTGTTTCCTGTCTACCTTGATTCCTAATGTGTCTCACCTGTGATTGATTGCCCTGCCTGCCTGTGTGTGTGTGTGGTGTGTCCTTGTATATATTGCCCTCAGTTGTGTTCAGTCCTTATGGTGTTATCTTCGTATGTTGAGTGTTCTGTCTCGTGCTCGCTTTCCCTGGATTTTTGGATCTTCCCTGTGTTTGGATTGCCTTGACCTTTTGTTGGATTTAACCCGTGTTTGGACTTAGTATTCTGCCTTTGTAGGATTTTCCCTTTTGTTTGGACTCACCGTGAGCTAAGAAGTAAGCCTGTTTTTTTTTTCTTAATAAACCGTCTTGAACTGCATCCACCCCGCCACTATCTGCATTTTGGGTCCACACTCCTGTTTCCTTGCTATTTACACTCAGCCTACCTGATAGGTATTAATAAAATGATACAATAAGACATAAATTGCTATATCTCTTTTAATTTGCTTCTTTATTTATTCACATTTGTGTTAATTATTTATTTACTTATTTACTACTTCTTATTCTCATTCTACACATGTGCAGTAGATTGGTTGGTGCCCTGGTAGCGTAGTGGGTGTGCAAGTCCATGCGGTCACAAAGAATGGGAGGCATGCAGATGTCTGCACAGACCCTACAGATACACCCTCTGATGACGTTTTTTTCTTCATGCGGACCCTAGACATCCCTCATGTACTCGAACGCAGAAAGTATGACAATTGCTTTACTCACTGGAATCTTCCCTTCTTGTCTTGAACATGCCATTATAATCTCACTGGCCACTTTATTAGGTACACCTTGCAAGTACCTTTTGCCTTCAGAACTGCCTTAATTCTTGGTGGCATACTTTTAACAAGGTGTTGGAAACATTCCATTAAGAAACTTTGGTTCATATTGACATGATAGCATCACGCAGTTGCTGCAGATTTGTCGGCTACACATCCATGCAAATCTCCCATTCCACCACATCCCAAAGGTGTTCTATGTTTACGCCAAATTCCCTACTCTACCATCTGAATGCCGAAGCAGAAATCAAATGCTCATCAAACCAGGCAATGTTTTTCCAATCTTCTGTTTTCCAATGTTGGTGAGCCTGTGCAAAGTCAAGTTGTCTCGACCAAGTCTAAATGCATTGAGTTGTTGCCATGTGATTATCTGATTAGCTATTTGTGTTAACGGGTGTACCCAATAAAGTGATTGCTGAGTAACTCCACTGTTAAAAAAACCTTGACCCATTCGCTTGCGAGAACTACAAACAATCTCAAAACTTCTGTTTCTGGGAACAACTCTTGAAAAAGTTGCATACCAGCAACTGCACATGTTTCTATGCCATAATAAACTGTCAGTCAGGTTTAAGAGCTAACAACAGTACAGAAACTGTGGTCAAGTCAGAATCCCTAATGATCTTAAAATTAACTGCAACCATGAAGTCTGTTTTGGTGCTTCTGGACCTTAGTGGAGCCTTTGACACAGTTGACCACAATATTCTCCTTGTCCTTGCATGAACACCTTTTTAGGCCTCAGAGGTACAACTCTTAAATTGCTCTCTTCCTATCTTACCGGAAAATCATACTTTTGTTTCTATTGGCAACTTCAGATCTGATGAAGTTGTTGTACTGTTTGGCGTCCCCCAGGGGTCAATTCTTGGTCCACTCCTGTTCAATTTGTATATGCTTAGACTTGAATCCATCATTCAGCAACATAACATATCTTATCACTCCTATGCTGATGAGTTATATATATGTATCTGTTTTAACGAATAACTTCAGCCCAATGAGTGACCTCATCCAGTGCACTGCTGATATAAAAATCTGGATGGCCAGATTCAAGAATTGTTAGCCCCCACTCTTTACAACCTTGTGAGCATGCCAAAAAACTGTGTACGTTTTTAGATGCAGATCTTGACTTTCAGAAGCATATAGTGCTGCATTTTTATCATCTTAGAAACATGGCTAAAGTTAGATGCTTCATTTCCCAGAAATTCTGAAATGTTCTTTTCACTAGAAGCAAATGTTTAATAAACTCCAGCTCATTCAGAATGCTGCAGCCAGAGTTTTGACTAGGACCAAAAATATTGATCACATTACTCTCACGATTGGCTCAGCTCCCTCTTATTTTACCGACATGCTGACTGAATCCATACCAGTCAGATCCCTTAGATCATCAGTCAAAGGTCTCCACACCATAGGAAACTCTAAACTCTACTTGCCTATGGTGCTTTCAGTCATTATGCTCCCACTCTCTGAAGTTCTCTACCACCTGAGCAGAGGTCTATTCTCTTTTAAAAGCAGTCTTAAAACATATCTCTTCTTGCAAGCTTATTTCTCCATCTGATTCCCTTTTATTGTAATACCCTCTTATTTTAATTGCTTTGATTGACTTTATTTTAGCATCCACCTTTTATTGTGTGTTTATGTTAATGTTTTTATCTCTGATCAGTTTTTTATATTTCTGCTTTTATTTTTATTGATTTTTTATTTTATTTTATATTTCTGTTTTAATTGTATTTGTGTCATCTGTTTCTATATGTATGTTTTTTGCAATTACGTTCATTGATGATTTTATGTTTCTGCTTTTATCTTCTCATCAGTTCACATATACATACTCCTAACTCAAACTTCTACTTAGGATTAGTCATGTAATGCACCTGTTTTGTTGTTTTGAAGCAAATTAAGTGTACTTGCTGTATGAAATGTGCTACATTAATAAAATTGACTTGACTTTCTGTGGAGTTCCACGTGCTGGCAGTGGATTCCGGGTAGAACTACTACTCTAGGTGGGGTATTTGTAAATGCTTTACAACTTCAGTATGAACTAGCAGCACAAGATAAACCCTCAAATTTTGACTATCTTGTCCACTCACAATTAAGACAACTGCCTGTGTGAGAGACAGGACCAAACACTCATTACCTTTCAGCCACTTTCGCCTTCCCACATCAAATCCTGCAAGGGTTGAGGATGGCCCTGACCTTGATGCTCAGGCTTATACAGCATAGGTGCTCTCTGACCCATGCAACTGGGCCGCTCCCATCTTTGCCTGCTGAACGCCTGAACGTTTGTGTATGTAGGCCTACATGCACTAAAGACTTAGCCAGTAAAAACCCAATTCTTTACCAACACTCCTGTTTAATAAGCATAAAAACGCTCAGTCTCTCATCCACCGCAGCTGTGTTTTGGTTTTACACAAGCACAGTGCTAGTTCAGATAATAGCTTATTGTTACAAACAAGCTAAAGTGAAAGTTTTGTCTTTAGTGACTTTTCAGCTTAGTTTGCCACTTACATTAAAATATGGCACATTATAAACTGAGCTGGTGACTGAGATAGACCCTCCTCTCTTCCAGCAGCAGCAGAGGGAGGAGGAGGAGGGACGGAGCTCTTCATTCTTTCTGATCTTCACTCAGTATGTTGATGTCAGGAATATGATTTATTTTACTGACATGTAAGATTTGTTTCCAGTGAGCTATTAGTGACTTTGCTGTTGTAAATCCTGTTGCTGCTCTAGAAGCAACATTTAGTTCATAAAAAATGTTAAATTACTTTTTTAAATAATATATGCAATTATTTAGTAATAAATAGGACTGATAAGAGCATCGATAAATAACTGAACCAATAAGCATTACCAATACAAGTGTGTCAATAAAATCCTAATAATCCC